TTTTCATTTCAAAGAGTTTTACGTTTAGTATAAAAAATCATTATATCGAAAGTATAAAAATCGTATTAAGCCTTTCATTTTTTATATATTTTTTATTGAATTTTTGTTTTAGTTTTTAGGTTTTTCTTTTAGCAAAAGCGGGTGTATCTTCATCAAGCAGGTATTTCGAATGTTACTTGGCAGGATTATTATTTTTTTTTTTACATTTTTTTTCTTTTTTAAATATATAGTTTTAAATAGTTTTATAAAAGCTTTGTGTTGTGAATGTTGTGTTGTGATGTTGCAGGCCTGTTGTAGTTTTTTGCTTTTATTTATTTATGTATATTTATTTTCTTCTTTTTTTTTAGATCTTTAGTTTCTCTTTTATAGTAAATATGTGTGTGTGTGTGTGTATGTGTGAGTGTTATCATTACTATATAAAGTTATTTATGCTTATAGAACTCACATTAGGCGACATTGACTTAGCTCACTAAATGTTAATTAATTGGGGTTTCAATACAAGTTTGTATCTACAATGGAATTTATCAATGATAATGGTATCAAAATCTGATTTCATTAAATTATTTAAAGCTTTTTTGTGTTTTGTGAATGTTAAGAAACCAAATTATAAACATTCTAATATTGCCTTAGTGAAAATTCATTAACACTTCAAAAACAGAAAACAGATTAAAAGTAAGTTAAAGAAAACTAAACTTGTTTTTATTAAAAATCTATTTACAATTGAATATTTCGCTACTTATGCACATAGAATTACTATTCAATTTAATAAATATTATTTAATTATATTTTCTTTTTTTTAACTACACGCTCCTACAAAATTCTCGCTAAATTTGTTTTTCTTTTATATTATTATTTTTATTTGCTTACATTTCAGATTTATCAATGTCGTTAATACAATTGAATTGCCATGAATATTGCTAGATATATAGCCCCGCCCTTTAGTAAATAGGAAAAATGAAAAAATAGCAAATTATCGAAAATTTCCAAAACACAAATCAAAAGATCTGTGGAATCTGTCGCAGCTTAGTTTGGGGCTAGACATGTGCTTCGGCTTGCCGAGTCTACAGCTTAATGCTTAACAAGTTACAATCAATTTATTATTTATTTTTATATTTTAACTAGCTTGTTTTTTATTTTTTATTATGCACTAAATTTTGCTTTGCGCTACTTTATTTTATACGAAATTTGTATTTTTTATATAAATTTGTTTGTTTGTTAATTTAAATATCTACGGCTAAGTTATGTATTTGTTTAGTTTACTTTTATTTTATTTATTTATTTATTTATTTTTTTTTTTTGTGGCTTTAATTTATTTAAATCATCATCACATATCAAAAAGTTTACAAAAATTTTTACCTTAACATTTCTTTAGCTACATTTTGCATGTCTTCTTTTCTGTTCTTTGTTTGTTATGTTTTTCGTGCGCTTCAGAATAAAACATACAACAATAGATATTATTTTTATTTATATTTGCTTCTTTTTTTTTTTTTTTTGCTAACTTTTACCCACTTAACAATTGTTCTCAGTTAACAAATTTCACATTCAACAAACTTGTGAAGTTTTTAACCAAATCTTATTCCTTTCGTTTTTAAATTGCTGTTAAACATTCTTTGTTTCATTTCTTTTTGTTTACTTATTTTAAGTTTTTAGTTTGTTTGTTGTCTATTAGTGTACGTGTGGGCATGTAAAAGGCATTTGTTTGGTTTCTCTTTGTGTATTTTTTGTATCATTGTGTTTTGTTTGTTTGTTTTCATTTTGGAAGAACTGAGCTGAAAAACCTGAAATTACTTTCACTATTTGCTAGCGTTCCAATTAAGTCAGCATATGATATGCCCAATTTAAAATTTAAGGCTCTATATATGTAGATTGTTACACATCAGAAATAATACACATTCGAGTTGATAACTCAGAGAAATGATTGATCAAAAACTTTTTCAATATTTTATTGTTTCAAACTTGTTTTATTTTGTTTTCAACTAAAGCGCGTGTCTTTGTTAAGCTTAGTGATATTATGTCTATGTATTAGTTATTAATTAATGGAATAGTTTAGCTTACATTGTTTTCTTCATTTTTTTTTCCTTTAATTTCCAACCAAATTGACCAAATTCTACACATGATTTGTTTTTCCTTTCTTTTTTTTTTATCAGAATATTAATAACTAATATTGCTTTCCATTGGGTTCACAATTGATGGGAGAAAGAGGGGAAAAGGAAAACCAAAATAAATGAAAACTAAAAAGCAGTTGCTGCTTCTGCTCGAACAATTCCAGTTGATTTTCTTTGCTTTTCGTTAAGATGCTTACAAATTATATTAACAAATACAACAAATTGATCATAAAAACGAGATTCCAACATGTTTCGATTCCACACATTCCGCCATACTATTTAAGGCATACTTTGCTGTGCCAAAAAGTATGCAATATATTTTTGATATTTGCGAGATGGTGACAAAACACAATTGTTTAATATTCAATAGTGTTAATTGTTGTAACAATTGCATTCGTGGCTTGGTTTTATGAATAAACTCAATGCATAACTTTTGACTATGAAACGCACAGCTGATGCTGAGATTTGTATCTTTGCCAGAATTTTACAGAATGTATTTATTTCATTTAAAACGGGTAAACTATTTTTTTTTTTTCTAAGTATCAGAAAACTGTTAAACTCCCTTACTTATCTTGTCTTCCCTGGAATCTTACATAGAAAACAAACAAATTTTGAAAGAGCTTTCAGCCTGTGCGTTTCCTTCGTTCAGTTTATATAATTATTTAGCTTTCATTATTATTATTTATTAAACAACTTACTATACAAGCTCTCACAATTCTCAACTTCATTTAGCTGGCTACAAATTTCTGTGTTGTTTTGCGCATATGTTAACAATTTTCGATTTTGCTTGAAATTTTATTTAGTATTTTATTGGATTGAAACAATTCAATTACAATTTATAATTATGATGACATGCTTGAAGTTTGCTTTTCATTTCAATATTTTTACATTTCCAAATGAGTTTACTTTTGACTCTTTTCAATAAATTTATCTTTAGTTTTAAGTCTATCAAAATGTTTTATATTTTGTGTTGTTGTGTATTGCAAAAATGTGCGAATTGTGTGTTGTGTGTGGGTGTGTATAAAAAATGTACATGTTTCTGTTTTAAACTCTTTCAAAATGAATATTAGGCGAAGTTTTGTGTATTGACTGTCTTCGAAATGGAATCGTTTGTTGATATCGCAAATGAAACAGCGCAGCTGACGCTTAGTTAGTTTTGCTTTAAAGTTATTTGTAATAAATTCATTTACTGTCAGACAGCATGGCCGTTCTTCTCTGGATTAGCACGCTTGGCGGCAGCAGCCGCGCCCATTCGCCTTGCCCGCCAACGATCGATGGGCGTGTAGCAGCATATGAAAAAGGGCGGCACATGCGGCGAACTGCCTGAGCTAGAGCTGCCGCTTTGACTCAGCTGCGACTCGACTGTCAGCTCCGTCTGGACGCCGCTGCTGGTCATGCGCACCTCCGCCTGATAGGGGGGCGGCGATGCGGCATGATAGTCCAGCATGGGTGCCGCCTTGCATATTACGCTCGGCGGCTCCAGTTCATGCAGCTCAAAGCTGTCCGACCGTGTGCTCGTCGGCGTTGTGGTCGAGGGCCGGAACTCGTGCGAGCTGCTCTCGACCATGGCAGTGCGATAGGTAGCGGCAAAATAGTTTGTCTCCAGATAATGACACGATTCGAACAAATAATCATCGAACTGCAAGCGTGTGGTACTGTCGCCAGCATGCCCCATAAAGTTGCCCTTGTGCGACTGTGTCGATGGCGAGCCCAAGGCGATGGGCAACATGGAACGGGACATGGGCATCAGCTCCAAGGAGCTGGAGCAGCCAGCAGCAGGCGCAGGAGCAGGTGCAGCGGCAGCTGCAGAGGATCTGCTTGTGCATTGCTGTTCTAGCTGCTGCTGCTGTTGGTGGTGATGATGCTGCTGCTGTTGCTGTTGCTGTCGCTGTCGCTGCTGTCTTTGCTTCATATCAACAATTTCTATTTCTTCTATATCACTAAAACTATTTAACTGTTTCAACAAATAATGCACATCATTTCGTTTCGTATAATCAGCGGCGTCGTGTTGCTGCTGTTGCAGCAATTGTTGCTGTTGTTGCTCTAACATTGCCGTCGTCTTACTTTTTATTGTGTCTAGTGCTTGCAATGTTAATGGGGTGCTAACGACGGCAATGCCACGACTAGTGCTACGTGGGAGGTTGTCGATTTGTCGCGACTCGTGTTGCTGCTGTTGATGATGTTGTTGCTGTTGCAGCTCTGGATAGGCCAGCGCCAGGCGTTGCTGCAGCGTTGCGCTACTGAACGCTGACGAGGCCCGATGTGGTTCCAGTTTAGCAGACTCGAGTATACGATTGAATTTAGCTAATGCGCTAGATGCTGTTGATGAGCTGGTTGTTGTTTCTGTTTCTGTTGTTGTTGTTGCTGCGGTGATCTTATGTCTTAGTTGTTGTTGTTTGGTTTGAGGCACTGTTGTGACGGTTTGTAGATTATCACCAACACGGCGACGCCCACTGCCCTGAGCATCGACGACATCCGCAACGTTGTCAACAATGACAACGCTTCGATCATCAGTGGATGCAGTCCTATTGTCATCCACATCATCATCATTACCATTGTCATCATCGTYGTCGTCGCAGACATCCTCATCAACATCATCAATATCAACGCCATCCTGCAGCGTTTCGGTAACATTCAAATTCAAATTCAAATGTAAACGCTGCCGCAACAGCAAACGCTGCGTCTTCGTATCGATGGGCACAGCGCCGGGTGGCGCCGGTGCCGCAACGGATGCAGTTGCTCCAATTAAACCATGTCCGGCGGCTATAACCGCCGCCGCTCGCTGCTGTGCTGTGGCCCTAGCTAAATTCTTTTGTAAAATCAACTTCCTCGACGAAATGATGTCATTATTGTCGCTCCCCCGCGATTACCGGCTGTCGCGGGTGGAGCGAGGCCGCCCCTAACTGGACGTACTGGCGATGGGCGAGACGGGTGACAGCGGACTGCGTACAGCCTGTTCGCGCGGACAGCCAGTGAGTGTGATCACCAGCTTACGGCTGCCGGCCTGATCGCGATGCTCGCACAGCCAAACGCCCTGCCAGGTGCCCAGCGAGAGTTTGCCATCGGTAATGGGGATTGTCAGTGAGCTGCCCAGAAAGCAGGCCTTCACGTGTGCGGGCTGTAAAGCAGAGATCGAATAGAATCCAATATGCCCATATATACATATATCAATTAATTTTATAGCTACCATATCGTCGGGTCCTTCGCACGAATGCCTATAGGGCAAACCTTCGGGAACTATTTTATTCAACATCATTTCCATATCGTCTCTGTGAATCGAAATATATATTTAA